ATCTCTGCAGGGCATCACACACACTGTTTATTGCTCATAAACCTGTAATTAACCTGTTCAAACATTCTCCTGAATATTCCTCCTTCCCTTCCCCTCATAGTTCCCTTAACCAAGAGTCTTTTAAAAGTAATAATAAGCAAAAGAAACCCTTGAAGTGTTGGTTTGATCTAGAGGGTTAGTGGCAAACAAAGGAGTCTTGTCCTCCAAAATTGAACTTTTTGGTTGAGGTAATGCCAGGGGGAGGTTTAGGTTGGACATTAGGAAAAGTTTCTTCCCCAGAAGGGTTGTCCAGGGCTGTGCCAGGCTGCCCAGGGCAGTGGTGGAGTCCCCACCCCTGGAGGGGTTTCCAAGCTGTGGAGATGTGGGGTGAGGGACACGGGGCAGTGGTGACCTGGCAGTGCTGGGTTAACAGTTGACTTGAAGATCTTAAAGGTCTTTTCCAACCAAAACAATTCTCTGCCTGTATGTGATGCATATTTCTCTGAGGCACCTCACATCTTTAACTTCTATTTAGTAACTTGGCCTGTGTCTCCCAGGGAGCTCCTCAAGTCTGTAGCATTCCCCTGTAGATGAAGTCACCGAGTCTCAAAGACTCCAATTTTGAAAAGCACAAAAATCTTGGGGCACTTGGTCCTTTCACCACCTGGCTGGAGGCAAGCTCCAGCACCAGCCTCCACGTGTGGAGTCTGTATTAGCTGCAGATGCCAGGTGCTGCTGGAAGTCAGCTCCAAGCATGAGTAGACTTGTAGTAGAGAATCAATCCCCTGGAATTGTGTTTTCAAGGGAAAAATCTCTCACTGGAAGTGTGTGGCCAGCAAACGTGTGAGCATCACAACTTCTTCTGATGTCCTAAACCACTCCAGCCTTACTCCTAAATCCTGAGAGTGACCAGTCCTGCTCTGACCTTTCCTCTAACTCTGTCAGATGATAAAACAGCACAAGGAGTTCTTTGTTTACCAAGAGCTATGGCTGAGGCAATTCCATAGGAAATAAGTGTCCCAGCATTGCTGTTCTACACATTTCCTGTCGTTTTAGAGCAGATGCTTCCAAAAAACATCTTCTGGCTTTCTGCAGAGTGAAGGAACACTGCCTTCCAGCCTTCAGTCATGCTACAAGTCCCCATGTGCACTTGTAAATAAGGTGTTTTTTCATGACCCATCACCCAGGCTCCTTGGTGTTGTCCCAATTGGGGATATTTTGAATAATACACATGATGATGGCCAAGCAGCTCCCTCCCCCTCCCCTTCCCACCCCTCATGCTGGCTAAAGAATCCTGATGTGCCATCACTTGAATCCCTTGATAAACTCACAACATCAAGAGCCATCAAAGAGGTTCAGCCCCATTCACCAGCAAGTCCTCATGGAGATTGAGAGGCCTGCTGAGATAAATCCATCCATTGACCTGTTCATCAGCTGCCCTCAGGAACTTCCACATATTTTACAGGAGGAATTTGTGGAAGGTATGCTCTTATCTCAGAGAGTTCAGAAAGCCTTACCAGATGACTTATATACCTCTTTAAAAGCTCCCTGATTTTATATGCACACTTCAGATACAGTAATCTGTGAATTTATTCAGATTTGTAGCTCAGCATAAAGCTGTCTGGTTTTTTTGGACAGCCCTTTGGATTTACCAGCCTGCGGTGAAATCGCTGCAGGAATTTGGAGAAGGTCCAATTCTATTTGTTTCAAGTCTTGATCATGTGGCTTTGGCATTCCTCACATAGCCAGCAATCATTTGCTTTTAATTACCCTTCATTTCAACCACAGAAGTAATGAATGTGGCTACCACATCCAACTCACAGGCTGTGTAAACTCTGCAGCTGGGTGGAACTTTCTTCTATATAGAGGCTGGACTATAAATTGAACTCAAAATGTGAATCCTCTTAACTTATTTTAGGCAGGCCTTTATAAGTTGAAAATAAAAATAAATAAAAAAGGAAATTTAAAAAATAAAAAAAGCCTTAAATGAAAGATTCCACACAATACACCTGATTCACTTCAGAAGCAATTTCCTGGCCTCCCCAACCTCTTGGTATGACTGTAGAAACCTTAAAAAAACAAGTTGATTTAATGTTTCTATTTATCCATGGTGTCCAGTTTCCAGAGGAGTCTGTGCCTTGTAGTTTTAAACTCAATTTAGCATTTAAACTCATTTTCAGCTGGGTCCCAGTGGAGCAACAATTAGAAAAGGAAAAGAGTTCAAAGAAGAAGGGTTATAACCTTTCAAAAGTATGTTTGCCTGGACTTTCTTTTGTGTAAAAAAAAAAGGCATCTCTGTTCCTCCTCTACCCACAGGAGGAGCAGAAGTATTGTAAAGTGTAATAAATCATAACTGGCCAAACTGGGAGTTGAATGGTGGCCTGCAAGTCAGGACTTGGGACCTTCCTTTATTAAACAACAGGGGTTTCATCATGGAGAGCTGAAATCTGGGTGTATTTTGGTGGTCTCAAAGTTAACCTGTGCTTTCTACAGTACCAGCACTTTCTGTAGCCAACAGTAGTGATATAGCACTAGAACAGGCTGCCCAGGGAGGTGGTGGAGTCACCAGCCCTGGAGGGGGTCAAAAAACATGTAGATGTGGCACTTTGGGACATGGTTTAGTGGTCATGGGAGTGTTGGGTTGATGGTTGGACTGGATGAGGTCTTTTCCAAGCTTAATGATTCTGAAAGGATGTGGTAGAGAGGTAGGTGCTGGTCTCTTCTCACAAGTAACTAGTGATAGAACAAGAGGGAATGGCCTCAAGCTGCTCCAGGGGAGGTTCAGACTGGACATTAAGAAGAATTTTTTAACTGAAAGAGTTGTCAGACATTAAAAAATGCTGCTGAGGGAGGTGGCTGAGTCACCACCCCTGGATGTGTTTAAAAACCATCCAGATGTGGTGCTTGGGGACAGGGCTTAGAGGTGGACTTGGTAGAGCAGGGTTAAAGCCTGGACTCCATGATCTGAAAGGTCTTTTCCAACCAAAGTGATCCTATAATTCTTATGAATGGGCTCCCAGTGTCATAAATTCAGCCTCAAGATTCAGCCTCTGCCAAGACCTGGCTAGCAAAAAAAAAACTCCTATTTGGAAGCACTGTACTTCATGAATACCAAATTAGTTGGTTTGTTTGCTTTTCCTCTCCCCCAGTTCTTGTAAATCTATGATGTGGAAGCTTCCCCTGGGATCCACACTGCCAGTTCTCCCCAACAGCAGCACATGGGTACCCCTGGGCAGGACCTGTGACATGATTCTGACTGTAATTAAATCACTACAAGGTGGAAGTGTCCTTCCAGTGTAGCATTTACTACCCTGTCTAACAGCCCATAATAAGACAACTAGATTTGACCAGAAAAATGAGTCAGCTAGGATGAATTAAATCAAGATTTTGGTCTCTGTTTTGCATGGTCAGCAAAAGACCTGCAATATTTTATAGAGCAGATACAACATACAGATGGCATCAGGTAATTTATACCTGCAGCTGTCTGCAAGGAAGAGATTTAGGGAAGAACCCTCACTGCCAAATAAGCAAAGAGAAAGTCAATGTGCTTGTCTGGATGAATTAAAAGTAAAATTTTGATGAGCCATGGGCTGATAACCCATTAGGTGGAAGTGAGGCTGTGGCAGCAGCACCCAGCAGTGTGGTTCCAACCCCTGTCTGCCCTTGAAATGTCACCAGGAAGGATCCATAGAGGTCCCTCCTGCTACAGGCCACCAGCTGATCAGTTCCCAATGAAGCTGAGGGCACTCAGAGGCCTCTTTGAAAACTGAATTTTCACATTGAATTAGTGCCCCATTCATAATTCACCTGTTTTTCATTTCACTGATGGGTGTGCCTGTGTCTGGACCCACGACCTACACAGCCCATCAGTTTTTTTTCCCTTCCAGTTGCCCCTTTCATGTGTCTACCTTCCAATTTCCTCTTTTTCTCTTCAGGTTATGGATCACCCAACTTCCATATGCTGATACAATTTGATTTCCTCCCACCCTGTCACTATATAAGCACCCACTGATGCCTGTTTATCTTCTTCTTTCTCAATCCTCTAAGAAACTCTCTTCTCAGCTGCTAGCCTACAGCTGTGGTCCCAGCCAACCACTCCCACTGCTGCACACAAGTCTTTGATTCCATCTTCAGAGTGGCCTTTACTGACCTTAGCTCATCAGACCACTTTTTGCATATTTGATGCAGTCACAGAAACCACCACAGTAAAGTTTCTGTTCTCACCAAACACATCCTGTGATCTTTTGTCAATGGGCTGGATCAATGTGACCTTGTGGCCAAGAAGGACAATGGTCTCCTGGGGGGCATTCAGAGGAGTGTGGCCAGCAGGCCAACGGAGGTTCTCCTGCCCCTCTGCTCTGCCCTGGTGAGGCCACATCTGGAGTAGTGGGTCCAGTTCTGGGCTCCCCAGGTCAAGAGAGACAAGGAGCTACTGGAGAGAGTCCAGTGGAGGCTGTGGAGATGCTGAGGGGCTGGAGCATCTCTGTGCCAGGACAGGCTGAGAGCCCTGGGGCTGCTGAGCTGGAGAAGACTCAGAGGGGATCTGATCAATGCTGAGCAATATCGAGAGGGCCCCTGAGGGGGCAAGAGGCTGGGGCCAGACTCTGTCAGTGGTGCCCAGAGACAGGACAAGGGGCAACGGGCACCAACTGGAACCCAGGAGGTGCCACCTGAGCAGGAGGAGAAACTTCTTTGGTGTGAGGGTGCAGAGCCTGGAGCAGCTGCCCAGAGAGGCTGTGGAGTCTCCTGCTCTGGAGAGATCCCAAACCCTCCTGGCTGTGACCCTGGGCACCCTGCTGGGGGTGAGCTGCTGGAGCAGGGGTGGGATGAGATGATCTCCAGAGGTCCCTTCCAACCACACCATGCTGGGATTCTGTGATCTGTACAGCTGCAATCAACCTCTTATTTTAGAAGCACATCCACACTTTGGGTGACACTAGTGCACTGACTGAGCAGAGCTGAACAAGTTGGGCACTGCCACTGGCATCTCAAAAAGAGAGCAGCTATACACACACACATACCTTGGCATTTTGAAGAGGAGGCTGGTAACTGGAGGGTCGATAGTACCTCCTCTGGGTGGCATCAGTGTGAATGTCTCCCAGGAACAGCTCCTCCACCAGGTGGTCCAAGTTGTGGTGCAGGTACTGCTTCTCCACACGGATCAGCTGCAGCTCGTGCATGGCAAAATTCAGAGCTTTGGTGCACTCGCAGCCGTTCTCCTCTCTCAGCAAATCGTAGCTCACGTCCTGCTCCCAGGGACTGTCTTCTGCTAGAAATCCAGGACACGTCTGGTTCACCAGCTCGCTCATTTTTTTGGCTACTGCTTCGTTGTGGGAGATGATCTGTATTTTGTGGAGCTGGTAATCAGCTTCCGTGCCCCCTCGGATGATCCAGGAGGCCTGGCGGAGCCGAATTTTGCCACGTACAACTAAGGTGTAGATGGGGTTTGTGCAACGATTGCCCCCGTAGTAAAACTGGTAGGCCTTGAAGGTGTTGTTGTGGTAGAACCTGTAAGATCTCGTGAGGAACTCGGGGCCTGCTCTGACCTCACAGCTGTGGGAAGACAGAAAGGGAGGGAGAGGCTTCAGCGAGGCGGCACATCGCGTACGGCGCGAGGCCGAGCGGGTCCCGAGAGACACTGGGGTGCCAAGGACCCCCCCTGGCATGTAAATAGGAACCAGGCACCTCTGGCTGACCAATCAACCAACCATTTCCTCTGCTCTTGTGCTGTTTATTAATAAACTGCTTCATGGTGATCATGTCTAAGGGCTTTGCGGGTTTAAAGACTTCGAGTCGTGTCTTGGTCTTTTTTTTCCCTGCCTAGGGAGCAGCATGTGACTCAATTCTTCTCTGGAAAAAAAGTAGCAGCTTGTTAAACCTCTCTTCTCCTCTTTTGCATGGTAGATTTAGCAGAAGGACTGATAATATCAGAAAGTGAAATGCCAAATGTCCACAGGACAGGACAAAGAACTAGGCTGCTGCAGAAGCTGAGCTCCACCAGCTCTGCTCTGCAGAGGTTGTGCAGGAGCCTGTCCTCAGTTTTTCCTCTCAAACTTTCAGCAGGGGTGAGAGTTAATGGAAACTTCTGACCTTTAATGCAAAACTTCTGTTAGGTTTGAATTTGGACCATGCAATATTCAGGTTTTGGGTTTGTTTGGTTGGTTTTTTTTTCCCCCTGAAGGTGTAAATGGAAGTTAAATTCCACTTCCTGTAGGAAGTCCTTTTGTGCCTTCAAACTTGTCCCCCTTGTCACATTCACCCTGCTCAACATAAATACACTCTTCTGTTAACCCCTCCAAGTCTTTCCTACTAGGAATCACTTCAAATAAGTGTCTAAATCTTGCCTGCTGAGACAGAGAAAGTGAAATAGCTCTGAACTACAAGTCATCATGTGTGGAGAGCAACAGAAGTGGTGAAATACAGCTTCTTAATGTCTTCTGCTCACAAAACCTGTGCTGGACACATGCTCTGAAAACAAGGATCAGTGGATCTAGTGCAAGCAGTCAGAGGACAATGTTATGTTTGAATGAGCATTCATTTTGGCAACTTGTTGGGCTCCTTCCTAGTCAAAGGGAGATCTGAAGATACCTCACAGCATGCTGTTTAAAATCCAGACTGACAACTGACTCATCGAGACAGCTTTATAGTGTGCTCTTCTAATGTATGTAATGCTGCTCCTTCTCCTTTTATGCATAAAAATATAGAAAGCATCTGGAAATTGAGCATCATCATATTAAAGAGAGCATTTCCCCTGCTGCTTGGAGTGGGAATATTCATCCTTCTCTCTCTACTTCCTTCCCCCACCTTCTCTTCCACAGCTATCGCTCAAACATCTGGTTTTATCTCTCCTTACCCAGTGGAGACCCAGTGTCCCTCAATATTGGGAGGCATCTGCACAGTGATCCGGGCTCCATTGTGAAGGTGTTTCAGCATATGATGACACTGGGACTCCTTGAAAGCCCTCCAGGCACTCTTCTCCAAGGAGCGAGGGTGGGACCTGCTGTCCGGGTGAAGAAGAGCAGAACCTTCTCCCAGCCCTAGGAGAGAAAAGGGTAAATCATCAGGAGACCCTGCTGAGAAGGACTTCCACACATACAGGAGGCTGTGAACATCTTCTGTTGAGTGACACTGGCTCACAAGTGTCTTTTCTCAGCTGAAAAAAAACCACATAAATTTGGGAAGTTCTTCCTCTGTCAGCCCACGGAATAAATCCGCTGGAACCGAAGCGTCGAGTTTCCACACCCAGGAGATGTGGCTCAGAACCTGGATTTTATAGACACCTCTGTAATCTCTGGTCAGGACAACCAAAAACCTGGAGCTTGAAGCTTTTAGAAAGTTGCCTTCAGATCCTTCAGACATAAGCTTCGTGGTTTACAGCCCACCTCTAATTTGAACGCTTCTATAATAAGCTTGCACATGAAGACCAGTCTTGAAAGCCAAGGGAAAAACAGATATTAAAAGCAAAGCCTCTGCACACAGGAAGACTGAGGTGGGCAATGAAAGGCAGATCCCACTATTTTTATTTTAAAGAGGAAAAGGAATTTCCAAAGCTAATTATATCTCCAGCACGCAGTAATTTTGGTTTCTCTTGATGTACACAGACAAAACTCACCAGCACTCTCTCTCTCCACGATATTAATTGAACAAAATGAATATGTAGCTTCAAGAGGAATGTCTCTTTACTCTTGGAGGCCCAGCCTGCTCTTAGATGTGTTGGAAAACATGGATCAAAAGCAAAACACACATCTAGAGGTGAAGAGGTGACAAAGAGCCTTTCAGAATGGGCTGGAAACTGTGTTACCTTGCCAGGAGGAATTGAAGAAGCAGCAGGCTAGAAGATGAAGCTGGGGTAGGGTGGAGAGGCTGGCTGTGTGCCTGGGAAGCTGAGGCAGATGTCTTGGGAGAGGGATGTCTTGCTAGTACATGCTCCCAGGGGCAAGGTCTGGGATTAAGACCTTCTTTTCTGGTGCCCTCTTGCCTGTTTGGGATCACCAGTGCGTGGTGCAACCCTACACCATGCTGGGGAGGACCCAGGGAGACCTTCTGGAGGCCTTTCAGGACTTAAAGGAGGTGTAGAAGAAGAATGGGGGCAAACATTTGAGCAGGACCTGTTGTGGCAGGACAAGGGGGGATGTGTTTAAACTAAAAGAGGGAGATTTAGAATAGATGGAAGGAATATTTGACACTGAGGGTGGTGAGCCCCTGGCTCAGGTTGCCCAGAGAGGTGGTCGCTGCCCCATCCCTGGCACCATCCCAGGGGAGGTTGGACACAACTCTGAGCACCCTGCTCTAGCTGCAGATGTCCCTGCTCAGTGCAGGGGGGTTGGACTGGATGACCTTGGAAGGTCCCTTCCCACCCAAACCATTCCATGGTTCTGTGATCCTCCACTTTATTCCCCAGGCCCCATCTAACTCTGTCAGTGATTCACTGGCTCAGCCAGGTCTGAGATGTTCTGGCAGAAACTGGGGTACACCTGGTTAAATGGCACTGCTAAAAATATAACTCCACATCCCCCATTTAAAAATAGCAAATCCTGAGCTCAACAAAGGCAAGGGGAGAGGATGATCTGAGAGAATACAACCAACACCTGGCTGGAAAGAATGCTCACCACGGAATCATCTCAAGATTTAAGGGGATGAATGAATACAGCCTCACAAAGCCTTCCCAGGGAAATCTGGCAGCTTTCTTTGCAGCCTGCCAACAGTTCTTCCACGTGAATGAGAATTTACAGCCCTGCTTCCTAAAGGGTAATAAATACTAGAGAGGCTTTGATATTCGAGATGCCCTTCAAGAAACCTGATTTTCAGAGGCTCAATACTTCTCCCTTGCTGGAAGTCAAAGATTTTCAGGTATTTCTACATTGCTGAGTAGAGTGAGGGCCAAACAACTCCTGTTCTGCAGCCTTCTCCATTTCTTTGTCTCCACATAGTAAAAAAGCCTCTGTTATTTCAGTGCCTCATCCTGGAATGGAGTGAGGACTCCTGTCCTCCTCAGAGCATCTTTTGGGTCAAAAGTGACACCTCCTGCAAGGGACCTGGTAGAGGCTGTAGCCATGAGGACTAACTTTCAACAGAGCTGCCAGGATGGCTCCTGCAGACAAATTATCTCACTCTGAGAAAGTCTTTTAAAAAACTTACATCTCCTCTTGAAGTCGTTAAGGGTTTGAAATCTGCCCTCCAAAGGAGGTTTTGAAATGGTCCAAGGGACAACTTCCAAGGCATGTTTAGGATACAACTTGCTTTTAAGCAATTGCATTTTGTTTAGCTCATGTCATATGATTCAGGCACACAGAGGCAATTAAAAATGAATGATTTATTCATTTAAACATACTCAGGCATCGAATTCCTCCAAGCCAAAATCCTTCTGTGGGAGGAGAGCATCTTGTATGTGTACATATCAAAGGAGGAGAGGCAGGAACCACATTATAAGTTCTCAAACATTCCCTGGAGGAAATGATGAAAAGAAGGCATTTTGGAAAAGGAGTCAAAATTTATGTGGTTATTCCACAGTGTCTTCTCTTTGATAGAGCTCAAAACAAGTGGGTCCCAGCTCTCCCCATCACATGCAGACAGCTCTGTCTGCAATTTGCAACTGATAATCTGCAACCAGTGGATGGAAGAGAGATTTCCAGCCATTTTCCCAGAGATCTGTACCTGTGAAGAGGAGCAGGGAGGGTTAGATTGGACATTAGGAAAAATATCTACACTCAAAAGGTTGGTGGTGGTGGAGTCCCCACCCCTGGAGGGGTTTCCAAGCCGTGGAGATGTGGTGTGAGGGACACGGGGCAGTGGGGACCTGGCACTGCTGGGGGAACAGTCAGACTTGATGATTTTAAAGGTCTTTTCCAACCTAAATGATTCTAGGATGATGTGAGGCTATTTGTTTGTGATTCTCTCCACCCAACTGTGACAAATGAGGGCAGGAAAAAGTTTAGGTAAAGACAGGCATGAGCACAGAATGAAGGCTGCAGAGTCAGAGGGAGGGATGGAAACAGAGCTGATAACAGCACATAAATAGGATGTGAATGTGAGAATAGGGTCTAAAATTAACAGGCAGCAATGAGACCTTTACCTGGGCCAAGGAAATGCTGAATTTGCCAAGTAATCACTTCAACCCTTTTGTGTTTACTGACATATGCCTGTATGTATGGCTACCACACAAGGATGTCCTAACTTCCCCTTCTACCAGCTGAAGATCAAAGACCAAAACTGGGGACAGGCTTCCCACAGGAGGCAGGAATCCAAACACTCTCTTCCTGTGCTTTTCCTTCCTTTTCTCCCAGCAGGTTGCAGTGTCCCCCTGCTCCAGCTCTGGCACTGCACAAGATGTCCTGCAGGGATGACATCACTGGCCTCAAGAGATCCATTTGGCCACGTTAAATGGGACATAGCTGGAAGCAACATCCTTCTGGGATGGAGGAAAGTGAAGGTTGGCACAGCTGCCACTACAGAGGACCTCAGCTTCACCTATAAACCTGTACCTGAGGTGGGAACAACTATTCAAGATAAAATAGTTGTTAAGGGAAGATAGGTTACTTCCAACTTCTTCAAAGATTTCTGCACTTAGCTGAGAGTAAAACACAAAAAACCTCTTAAAAGGGCAATCTGTTGGCAGCCCAGCAGCCAAACGTGCTTCAAAAATGGCTGTGACAAAGTTCTCCACCAACATTTCCACAAAAAAAAACCTGCAGGGGGATAGACTAAATGCCTCTTGTTTCCAAAAAACAGTATGCAAATCCAGTCCCATTGCAACACAGATGATGATAAGTAGGGTTGTGTTTGAACACAAATGCTGAGAATTTAATTTGTGCCTGAACACCCCGGCCAAATTCTGTTCCCAGCTGTGCCAGACTGCAAAAGCATAAAGCAAATCATCTCAAACTGTTTAGATTTAATCAGTTTAATGAACACCTCTACCAGGATCTAAACTGTGGCTTCAAAGATGTCCAAGCTCTTCAAACCAGACTCAAAGATTCTACGTGTTCAGCAG